CAACGAAGACGCATGCAAGCGATGGAAGGCGAATTTACGGATCGTCCAAGACGCTTGAAATGGTAGTGATGACATTGTTTCGGCCGTGCTGATGCTCATCGCATATATAGTCTTTGGCTTTGTGTAGCGCCGGTGAGCAACTGGAGTTCGACAATCTGTATCCAGTATTTGTGACCCCTTCTGGGCGAGAGCGGGTAAGTTCGTGTAGCTACGCAATAACGTTTGGCTAAAGCTAATCAGTGCCTACCTGTAGAGAACCGAAGCGAGATGTGGCACGTCGATCGGCATAGACGACTTCATAATTGCACTGCCAGTGAAAGAGATGAACGACCTCTACGTGGCGATTTGTCGCGGTGAAGATGACCGTGCGCACAACTTTATCTGGATGATGCGTTGGCAGGAGACGTGCATGGAGCTGTCTGAGGTAAGCCAAAATGTGTATCGTGGCTGGTTACGGGTAATGATATCTATGTTTGTATTCGATATGAAAATGTAGATCACGCGACCGCAAATTCGGGCACGTCTAAAATGTATAAACTCCAACTTGTTGCGGTATCGCGAGGAGCAAGACGAACATATCGAGCACTTTATCGCGATGGAGGCGGACCCTTCCACACGACACGACACCCTCATGAACCATTATAAGGAAGGCCTTGACTTGCAGAAACGCTACAACATAGTTGCCGATCTAGCCACAGCTATGGACAGAGTCGATATGCTGGCGGACCAACTCAAGGATCAAGCTCACTGGACATGCTCTTGCGAGAAGCGCGCATACCACCGCTCGCCCCAATGGCTTCAAGAGCAACCTCTCAACTTGGCACCACAAGCTCTAAGGCCGCGCTGGTTTTGGCCTCCCCGCTATCATGGGTGATATCCAGTTGATTCGCAGAGCAGGACGCTCCAAGGTGAAAACACGTTACTGAAGTTACTATGTCCTCCCCCTAGTAACAGAGCTATATGCAATTAAGTTGAATGTAATATCTCAAGTAATGTTTCATCTAGTCTGAATTGATAATTCTAACGAAACCCAAAGCTGTCTGAATACAGTGATCCTTTGCTCCAGCACGTATACCTATTCCGCCCACATCCACCAAGGCCACGGTCACCTCCATCGTGTCCGAGACCCTGCTGTCGATGTCGCTGGCGACGCCGCTGACGCTACTACCGTCGGCAACCTGCGTGCGGACTGCCGCTGTCGTTGCGCTCGCTGCCCGAGCCGAATGCCACCGTCGCGTTCGTGACCATGCCACCGTCGCGTTCGTGACCATGCCAGCGGAGACGCCCCCGATCACATCCAACACGGCCACGGTCGCCGCGGAAGCCTCCGAGACCATGCTGTTGACGGCACACACGGCGGCGCTGCGGCCGCCGTTGTGCTTGCTGCCCGAGTCGCCCGCCACCATCGCGTCCGTGTCGCCGACGGCGGAGACGCTTCCGACCAGGTCCATCAAGACCATGATTGGGGGAATGCCGATGGTAGGGCGTTTCGGCGAGGGAGAACGGGTAGAGCGGTCGCGATACATAATGTCACATAAATAGGCTATTGGTATTTGAAGTGGTTTACACAACATGTAAAGGCTCGCCTTTTTGGTGCCCATTTTGCTTTGGTTGATCTTGTCAAGCTTTCCCGCGCTGACATTTTTTCCCATGTCTTCGCTTTGACCAATCAAAACCTGTCTCCGAAAAATCGATGACAGTGATTGGCTGCCAAAGTTCAACAAGAAGCGTGATTGGCGGAATTAGTTCAAATCGATCCACTGTTGTTTGGTCGGCTTGCTCGGCTTGCTCCGAATCAAAATGACCTTCTCGCATCGGAGCTCATTTCCGATTTTGCAAGCTCGATCCCAAGTGTCCCTGGCTGACCACGCTCTGTTCTTCCGGTTTCCACGCTTCGAACGACGGTGGTACACATGTGCTGGCCGTACCCATCGTTTACGGCGCGTGGCTGCCCGTGATACTGTGCACGCTGCGGTCAAGTCCAGCCTGCCAGTTCGCCCCTCACTCTCCAAGTCCAGCGTCGTTGGAGTCGTCACACGCTCAGCGCCGGTGAGTCGACGCATCTGCTGCTGCTGACCGCCTGTGCTACTTGACGCGCTGACCTCGGGACGCACCGGGCATGAAGTTGGACTCGCTGTCCGTCGTGTACGCACCCGACGACCACGTCCCGCACAACCGCCGCAACAGCGCATTTGTTGTCGATAACGCAGTGCTACTAGAACTGGCGCTGGGATGGTGTCGTTTGTCCCGTAGTCCCCAACTCTCCTCACGGCATTGCCGCCGGGTGTGGCTGTCAACCACGTTCAGCTGCGAGACGCCAAGATTCCGCTACAGGACCCCGAGATGGAGCGTCGGAGGCGGCACTGGACGACTGCCCACTAGACCTGCAGGTGGACGGCGTTCTCCCGCCCTTTTTCGCTTCCAGCGATCCTCATCGACGGACAACCGCACGTAGATGCCTCAGGAGGGAGCGGGGTGCCACCGGCGACAAAGATCAAGAGAGGCTACCGCTAGAAATGGAGCGTTCGAGTCCCATCGGGGGTCAAGATGGAGCCTGAAGTCGCCATGACGACGACGTCGCAAGCGCCCAATTTGCCCAGCGACAGGGACACGCAGGCGGCATTGGCACTTGGCAGCAGTGTATCTACGATGGGCGTCACCACTGTCGCCGTGTACCGTAGTTCGGACCGTCACTATGGGGCTTGCATGGGTCAACGTAACTGTGGAGACGATGCCGAAGCCGCTACAGCACTTACATTTGGTAGCAATACTGGAGTAAATCTAAGTACCGTATGTTACCGTTGAACGCTTTGAGTACTCGTACTATTCATGACTCTGTGTAATTACACTGTATTCATCCCGCACTCGATATCCGATGCATTTTGCACGGTACCTTATCAGCACAGCTACGCTGCATTCCGCATGGCGGGCATTGAACCTGCACCGGTGGGTTCAAACTCCACCATACTAACATCACATACAACGATGAGTCGAACCACCCCATACAAAGCCTAGTACGTTCGGTCCCTTTGAACACTTCGAACATGGCCATACAAATAACAATATATTCGGTCCATCATATCCACCCAACAACGCTGATTTCTAGTACTTCATCATTCTAGATTCTGCGCTCAAGTGGAAAGATGGTTGATCGCAGGAAGGACGCGGATAATGTAGAGGTACGTGTTTTGGCTGTTTCGGCATCGTGTTGTTATGCTAGTGCTAATACGAACGGCTATGTATGGGTAGTTGCCAGGACCAACGAAGACGCATGCAAGCGATGGAAGGCGAATTTACGGATCGTCCAAGACGCTTGAAATGGTAGTGATGACATTGTTTCGGCCGTGCTGATGCTCATCGCATATATAGTCTTTGGTTTTGTGTAGCGCCGGTGAGCAACTGGAGTTCGACAATCTGTATCCAGTATTTGTGACCCCTTCTGGGCGAGAGCGGGTAAGTTCGTGTAGCTACGCAATAACGTTTGGCTAAAGCTAATCAGTGCCTACCTGTAGAGAACCGAAGCGAGATGTGGCACGTCGATCGACATAGACGACTTCATAATGCACTGCCAGTGAAAGAGATGAACGACCTCTACGTGGCGATTTGTCGCGGTGAAGATGACCGTGCGCACAACTTTATCTGGATGATGCGTTGGCAGGAGACGTGCATGGAGCTGTCTGAGGTAAGCCAAAATGTGTATCGTGGCTGGTTACGGGTAATGATATCTATGTTTGTATTCGATATGAAAATGTAGATCACGCGACCGCAAATTCGGGCACGTCTAAAATGTATAAACTCCAACTTGTTGCGGTATCGCGAGGAGCAAGACGAACATATCGAGCGCTTTATCGCGATGGAGGCGGACCCTTCCACACCACACGACACCCTCATGAACCATTATAAGGAAGGCCTTGACTTGCAGAAACGCTACAACATAGTTGCCGATCTAGCCACAGGTATGGACAGAGTCGATATGCTGGCGGACCAACTCAAGGATCAAGCTCACTGGACATGCTCTTGCGAGAAGCGCGCATACCACCGCTCGCCCCAATGGCTTCAAGAGCAACCTCTCGACTTGGCACCATAAGCTCTA